CTCTCTCTCTCTCTCTCTTTCTCTCTCTAAATATAATGCACAAATATTGTTATTTAAATTGTTTAATTAATCATTTTTTCTAATACAACAGTGATTTTTAATTAATTTTCTTTAAAAATATATTATAAACTTTAATTATCAAATGGCCGTCAATTAAGATGACATCATTTGCCATAATCAACGCCCGCATCACTTATTAGCATTTGGCCTATTATATAATTAAAATAAATTAATAAAATCATTTTAATAAAATAATTTAGATATGTATTCACCTGGTTAATTTTAACCACACGTCAATTATTAATAGTGGTATAACAAATGCAACATAGTGCTGACTTGCCACAAAAGTGACATTTGTCCATTTGTGCTGGTTTCGTATTGATGTTTATAGTGTAGGTTTAGTGTATATAAAATTTTTAATTTTAGCAACAGTTAATTTATGGCAAATATTATAATTGTGACCAAACCAAACTCGATTGATTTGAACATGGTTATTGTCTCTCTTTATATACCCGGTTGGGTAACGCTTGAGTGATGGCGTGAAATATATGCAATCATTTTAATTGTATTGTGCTAAATATTTGGCCGGACGTATGTAATTATTATTGCAATTATATCTAGTTACATTAACGCAATCCCGGCGAGATTTCACTCAAGATCAATATAACATAAAAATTGTATATTGCACAATTAAAATTTATTCTATTATTGCAGTTTATTATCATATACATTTAAAACATTGTTTGTATTTCTGACAAAATAGGTATTTGTTTACAATAATTCAAATTAAACTTAAAATAAAACTTTTTAAATTAAACCAAAACGGTATTAATCATCACCATGTTTAATCGTGGACTGCGTGGGGAACACAATCGTACGCCAGTGATTGGTTGTGGTCTCGGGCTCCGGGGTCTCTGTGGTGACCGCCACCCCCTCTACCCCACCCTCACTCTTACCGACATCGCTATTAAACCCTACAAACAGTTTGGCGAACTCATAGACCTGTTGCTTAATGTCTTAACAATTATAATTAAATTACATTAAAAACCTAAATTTAAATTATTGTGATACAATGTACATCCAATGATTACCTCGTTTGCTCTCAATTATCATAAAACATGCCAACGAAATGACAACAAAGAGATACAAATTGGCCATAAATTCACCTTAATATTAAATTATGTAAAATATTTTACTTTTTTATTATAAATTATAGTATAAATAAAACTTTGCATTTAAAAAATAAATTATTTTTTAATAACTCAAATAGTATTGGTAATAATTATTAAATACGTTAATAATTTATCTTACAGTATTAATAATTTATATAATCAACAAAATTATTGTGAGAATATTAAAACATGTTAAATACAATATTTAACATTACATATCCCATTTAGACTTAATTATTATGCCTCGGTTGCCGATGAATAATCATGTTATTAACTTTTATCTTAAAATAAATGTATTACAAGAAATAAAGTGAAACCCACACAATAATAATATGAAGTTTATATAAAAAAATAAATTATCTCTACCATCATGTACAATTTTTAAAAATAAAAATAAACAAAATTAATTATTTTTAAAATTTATTAATTATTTAATACTGATTACAAATGGTTGTTAAATGACATAAATTATGTAATAATTATATTATTTCCATTCAACTAAATGTGTTTCTACACCCAGATTAAGCTCCAGCTCACTCACTGCCAATTGTTGCCCAATGGGGTTGTATGAAAACTTTTTAGCCGCCACACCATTGACCAACACCACTGTTGGCTTAACACTCACACCAAACACATCTATCTCGCCAACCAATACAGCGCCAGTATAGCCATTGTGTACTGGTTTTATAATGAGGTTATTCTACAAAATAAATAAACCAACTTTAATTAACAAGGAATATTTTTAATTAGTATAGCTCACATTAGTCGCCTCAAAATTAACCAGGGTATACTGTCCATTCTCAACTGTGTTCATTGAATCACCATCGTCCCAATATAATTGACCATGGGCTCCGGCTTTATCCAGAAAAGCCATGATGATGAACTTTTCTTTCCTCATAGCAGTGGTTGTTTGCTGGACGGGTAGTATTGGCACCACATGTCCGGCCCTTATGAATGTATTCACTTTCTCTACCGGGGCGTCAAACTCCATGAACTGACCGCTACTCACAATAGGCTTATCAAACGTAGGGTAATGAAACGGATACCAAACACCCGCCGGTAAGTAGGGCTTGATTTTGGTCACATTGGGTTCAACTACAGGCGCTATCATAAATGCCTGGCCCCACATGAACTGGCTCTCGGCCACTGCCGGTTCGTACGTGTGTTTATCGGCGGGGAATTCAAAAAATACCGGTCGAGCTACAGTGTCGGCATTGATTTTAGCTTGGTAGAACAAGGTATATAAATAAGGTAGTAGGGCGTATCGGGTTTCCAGCGCTTTCTTGGCCGCCCGGGTGACCATGGTGCCCATAGCCACTGGATCTTGGTCCATTTTCTTCTCGTTATGATTTCTGTATGTGTTTTATTGTATTTAATTAATATATTTATAGTTAACCATGTGTACAAGTTATTGTTTAGCTATAAAAATTATTACTAACCTGGCAAACGGATAAAACGCACCGATCTCAAACCACCTAGCGCACAACTCCTGGTGAAACGTGTTGTTCGATGCCGAGCCCGTGAAACCGCATATATCGCCCCCGACTAACGGTATGCCAAACATATTCATATTCATTACAGCTATAAGATAATTAATTATTTAAAATTACACATGATGGTTTTAATTATTTAGTTAACATCAATAATTCAATGCACTCTTACAAGCGATAGTCCACTGGAGGTTTGAATAGTCGGTGAAAGTGTCTCCATCCCAGTGCCCGGAGTACTTGCCCTGACCGGGCGATGTGGCCCGGGATATGACAAACGGTCGCTTTTGGCGCACTTCTCTCAACGCTCTATGCATGATAAATATAATATTTAAATAAATAACACAAAAATAAATAATTCATCATAGTAGAATATATTTTAAAAATGTAGAAAATAGCTGAATTTTAGCGCAAATAAAACTTACACATCTGTAGCCATAGCCATATAAAAAGCGTATAAGTTATGCACATTGTAGAAAACACCTGCATGCTGTTTAGTGGTCATGCACAGGGTATTTTCAGGCATCTTGCTCATTTGTTTTGGTATATATGGGGGTGACTCCAGTGGGTTGCTCATTGGGCATGCTTTGTCGGGATGATCCATAATGTTAGCAAGCTCGTTCATATCATTCCAGGAGCCATCAATAGGTACCTGTTTATGAAACTCTCGGTACTGTTTGGTCCAGTATTCGGTGGCTTTTGGGTGCGAAAAATCGGGATACACTGTTTTGCCCGACGTTTGCCACATTCGGCCCACAAATATGCCATCGGTGTGATTCTTGATAAATATGTCCATGCTCACGCCATCGTCATAGGGCGGGTATGTGCCTGCACACAAAAATGTCTAGTTAGATATGTGCATATAAATTAACTATAACAAAATGCTTACCAGCTTTCATAGTGGGATCAATACCGGGGTCAACAATAGGCACGTAATGCATACCAATATCGTGCAAATGTCGGACCCAATCGCCAAACCCTTTGTACCGGTTCTGGTCTACAGTGAAATCATCAAACGTCGGCTCCATATACTCCTTGGCATTCCATTGGGTGTCAAACGGTATTCCGGCGGCGATCGTGCGCTCAGTTATAACCTTTTGGTTGGCCAGAGTGTGCGGTTCAGTACAGCACCGGCACTGATGATAGCCCAGCGCCCAAAACGGTGGCAATTCAGGCCGACCCACGAGACTCACGTACTGTCTGATGACGTCCGCCGGCTCCGGACCCACGAATACGAATAGGTCTAAAATGCCGCCAACGGTGCGCCACGTGATGGCCGGCTCCGGCTGTAACAGTAGGTCCATAGCGTTGGAGTTGTGCAGAAACACACCGTGCGATAGACCGGTGCTGTTGTCCTCGACGTTCAGGTGGAACGGGTGGGAGCCGTACAACGGGGTCTTTTCTTTGGGATGTTTATCATGGTTGAATAAGGTGTATATTTGCCACTGAGTGTCCTTCAGGAATCTCGCTTTTTGTTCCCCAATGCCGTATACCTGGTGCGAACTGAGCAGTGATTTGAGCTGGATGAATTGGTCAGCAAATACTAGTTTTGTTACGTCCGTCTGAAATATGGGTGTTTTTGTCGATTTTCGTCTTATAGTCACAACACCTGTTAATTATTAATTATGCTTATTATTAGCTACAATTATAAAATTTACATTATTGTTTAATAATTCATTTATAAATTATAATAACAACTATTTAATATAATGGAAAAACTGTAAATAAACATAATTTAATTGTAAAGTAGCAATCATTTTTGTATTTAATTTACAACACAAAATAGTCTTATTTTATAAACACTACATTAAGTTTACAGTTACAGTAATTAATATGTAAACAACATTACAATATAATAAATGTTTATTTAGCCACATATTTAATATACAGCACATTATATAATTGTTAAAAATAAAATAATTTAGTTCAAATTGTAATAAATAAAACCTAATTAATATAAACTTTAAAATAAAATAACTCACCATGCTCGATGGGGTCGAGTGAATAGAGCGGACTCACGGCTACAGGTTTGGGAAGATTGAGTTGTGGGAGTGGGGGCTCATATCGGGTGCGATTAGAGTCAGTCACACGTATTCGCAACACATTAGGCGAGAGATGTGTTATACGAAACGACACCGACTTTATATCGTTGGGAAATCCCGATGGGGTCTCGCGAGAGAGATCTACCAACGTATGGTCTGAGCCCTCAGACACGTGACCCACTTTATAACCCGAATAAGTCTTCGGTATAAAGCATGTCGGTATGTATTTATCTGTGTGATAATTATTAAGGTTGTTAATAGTTTATTTTAAAATTACTAATTAATTATTTGGTAAACATTTTACTTACTTTCAGTACTGGTAGATGTTTTGGGGGCGAAACAGCACTTCCGTGCCGTACACTCAGCCTCAGTGACTGTCCGTTCGGGCGCGCAGTCTATACGCTGGTCGACACTAACACCTGTACACTCCTGGGCCCGACTGTACTCAACCAATGCTAACCATTGGATTATTATTAGATATTTTACACGCATTGTAAAGAACACTTATTATAGCCACGTAAAATTATTCTCGCTTTATATACACAGTTGTTGAGTTAAATAAGTACATTGTGTTATTTAAAGTTATCTAAATACACTTAAACTTATAATAAGATATCATTGTTATATTTAACTTTCTAAATTAGATTTTTTACTGTATCGATGAGACTCCCACATGCTGTTATTTATTAATGCATGTTGAACAAAATAAGGTACATTATTGCACATTATTATCTATCCAAAAATTTAATCTGACATAATTAACCAAGTGGCTTCATTCCTTGACAATTTACGTATATAAAGTATATCACTATGATAAATTAATGAGTATTAGTTATTTTCCATGTATTTTTCGCAAACACTTACACGGATTTATTGATTAATTTATCATAGGATGAGTTATCACTTTCTATACATCAATCAAAAATAATTTATTTTATACAGTATTTGTCATAAAATGAATTAAAACTTTAGTAATAAAATATAGTTTTAACATAAAATAATTTGAATATACTGTATAATGATATCTAATTTAATTTAATTATAAAAACTTGACGGATTTTTGGGTGCCCATTTGACATTTTTAATAAAATTATTATTAGTAAATATGTTTGGTTTAAAATAAATTTACAGTTTTGTCCTGGATTAGTTTTAACTAATTCTCTCGCTTTCACTCATTCATATTTAAATAGCTATGTAACAAATACCATAATTCTAAACATACATTCATAGTTATAGTATATACAGTGTAGTTAAGAAAAATAAATACTAAATTTAAATAATTCAATTAAATAACATGGTCAATTATTGCTTTTAAATGTTTGCGCAAACTTATGCACCAGGATAAAATATCGGCAATACTTGATCACTATCTATAAAAGCATAAAACAACAATATAATTATATAAATATACAAGATACAAACACAACAAATGCATTACCGTATAAAACACAGGGAAGGTTAAAGTGACCAAGGTACCAATCGTAAGGCCTACACGACGCTTTTTAGTACTTAACCGTTCAAAATATGCCTGTAGTTTAAGCTTAAGCCTGAGTGGGCAGGACAGTCGCCACTGTAGTCTGGCCAGCAATTTGGTGTGCCGGTGTATTATGTAGCACAACCATGCGCAAACAAATTGAAACACAAATATCACACCGGACAATATTAACAGTACCACCAAGGCTAAATATAATACGGCCGGGTGCATGGACTCAAACAGTACCAAATGCATGCCGATTAGGTGGGCTGGTATCAGGGTGACCACAAACACCAAGTAAAAATTGCGCCAAGATGAATTATACATTAATGAATACCAACAATATTCATTATGGTGATGCAAATAATTACTAATGCATATTTGCAAGTGCATAATGCTTCGGGGCTTATTATGATCTCGGTCCATTCTGGGATGCAAGCTACCATTGGCCCTGGTGACACTGAGTATGCAAGCAAAAGCTATGATCGTGGTAAATGCTAATGTGGCACACGCGTCGGTCCACGCGCTGTATATTGTGACGTACATTAATATTTGGGGTATTAACGAGATGGTAAACGTCCAGATGGTATAGTGATGTATACTAGCGCCGATTACCATGGCGTATGCGGCGATAACTATTGATAAACATCATGTGTAATAATTCAATAATTAAATTATTATAATTTTGGTATTATTATAATCACTTACTTGTGGTTATGAACAAAACATCTACCAGAAAATAAATTATTTTAGCAAATAATCTTATCCTGGGCAAGATATTTGGGTTAAGTCTGTACAGTGGTAACTGTGTAGGTCGTATATCACCACGTAACATTTGAAATAAATTGACCCATGCCATATTAGTAGGCGTTGTATCAATATGTAACTGGTATAATAATCTCGAGCACATACAACCGGCCAATATTATGACGATAACATTATACTGAGGTAAACCGCCGACAAAGATCATTACATCAAAAAGTAGCAAGCGCGTTTCACTTGAAAAATTTTGCGCTATAATTGTTTTAACAATATTAATAATATAAGTTGACAGAGCAATTTTTGTAAACCAACTAGATGGTTTTTGTTTCATTGTGCGATGGTATATATCATTAATATATTTGTCAATTAAATAGTTGCTTAATATTCTGTGATTAGCCATTTTATGTTGAGCTAGGTGACAAAAATGTAATAATAGATGTATATATTTATTCTATTTTAAACATTTATAAATACTTTGACATTTGTTATTCAAAATAAATATTAATATTTTGTCAATCATGGTGTATATTTATAAGTTTAATTCAGAAATCTAGTACATTTGAATAATTATTATGATATATTTGTGCAATGCGTGTTTATGCATAATTAATATGCTATAGCTTTATAAATAATATTATTTATTTTAAATTATATAACAACATTCAAATTATTTATGTAAAAATCTATACAGTAAGTATGTGCTCTAGGAGAGTTTAATGAGAGCCTAGGAGAGTTTTACTATGTAAACTTGCATGAGATTACATTGAGTCATAGTTGTCCAGCACATTCTTACTATACAGAATCAATATTTATAAAATTTATTTATAAATTTTAAACAATAAATTTATTGTGAGATAGTTTTATAAATATCTTATGGAAGTAAAACATTTCTCAATTATGATATACAGTTTATTTATAATTCGAAGTAAATAATAATAAATTGAAAAGTTACTTGAACTTAATTATTGATTATTTAATTTAATTAAAATCATATTAAGCACATAAGCTCAAAGTAAATAATTAAATATTAATATCCAAACAAATTACTTTTAAATCATGTATTATTTATTAAATTATTAATACTGATTAGAATTATTACAAAATAAAAATATAATGTATTTTATTTCCATTCAATTAAATGTTTAGTTGTACCAAGATTAAGATCTAATTCGTTAACAGTTAATTGTTGCCCAATAGGATTATATGAAAACTTTTTAACCGCCACACCATTGACCAACACAGTTGTTGGCTTAACACTCACACCAAACACATCTATCTCACCCACCAATACAGCGCCAGTATAGCCATTATGTTCTGGTTTTGTAACCAAGGTGCTCTAAAAAATATCATATCATTAACTTATAAATTAATTTTAGTTGCTTTATTAATAGCTTACATCTGTGGCATTAAAAGTAACCAGAGTATACTGTTTCTGTTCAACGGGGTCTATTGAATCACCATCGTCCCAATATAACTGACCATGTGCAGTAACAGGGGCTGACCCTGATTTATCCAAAAAGGTGAGCAAGGTAAACTTTTCCTTTCTCATAGCAGTGGTGGTCTGTCGAGTTGGTAGTATCGGCACCACATGTCCGGCCCTTAAGAATGTATTCACTTTGTCTACCGGGGCGTCAAACTCCATAAACTGACCGCTACTCACAATAGACTTATCAAACTTTGGATATTCAAACGGATACCAAACACCCGCCGGTAAGTAGGGCTTAATTTTGGTCACATTTGGTTCAACTACAGGCGCTATCATAAACGCCTGGCCCCACATAAACTGACGCTCAGCCACTGCCGATTCGTATGTGTGCTTATCGGCTGGGAATTCAAAGAATAGTGGTCTAGCCACAGTGTCGCCGTTAACTTTAGCTTGGTAAAAAAGAGTGTATAAATATGGCAGCAGGGCGTATCGGGTTTCCAACGCCTGTTTTGCCGCACGAGTGACCATGGTGCCCATGGCCACTGGATCCTGGTCCATTTTCTTTGTGTTATGATTTCTGCATTTGTTTTGTATTTGTAAATGTGTATATTATGTGTAAATGTGTGTGTACAAATGTGTGTAAATGTGTATATTATGTACAGTATTTGTGGTGTTAATTATTGCTGAGATTTGTTATTCTAACCTGGAAAATGGATAAAATGCACCAATCTCAAACCACCTAGCACACAACTCCTGGTGAAACGTGTTGTTTTCTGCTTTGCCCAGAAACCCGCATATATCGCCGCCGACTAACGGTATGCCAAACATATTCATATTCATAATAGCTGTAAAACGGTAAAAATAAATAAATAAAAAAGTAATAAGTAAATAATAATCGTTATAATAAACATGTATGTAAAAAAAATATAATCACCATAACAAAATATTATTTACTTACATGGAATAGTCCACTGCATGCTTGAATAGTCAGTATCAATGTCTCCATCCCAGTGCCCGGAGTACTTGCCCTGACCGGGCGATGTGGCCCGGGATATGACAAATGATCGCTTTTGGCGCACTTCCTTCAAAGCCCTAAGTTTGATGAATAAACTCATAATAATTAATATAAATAACCAGATAAAGTCAAACCAATACTTATTGTTAATAATAATAATTAACTTACTTATCAGTAGCCATAGCCTCATAAATTGCATACAAATTATGCACATTATATTCAACTCCAGCGTAATGTTTGGCAGTCATACAGAGTGTGTGGTGTTGCAGTTTACTAAGTTGTTTTGGCACATATGGGGGCGACTCAAGTGGGTTACCCTTTGGGCACCCGTTGACCGACGAGCTCATACCGTTGGCGATCTCGTTCATGTCATTCCAGGAGCCATCGATGGGCACCTGTTTGTGAAACTCCCGAAATTGTTTGGTCCAGTAGTCGACAGATTTCGGGTGAGAAAAGTCGGGCCAAACTGTTTTACCCCTCGTGTGCCACGTGTGGCCAACAAATATACCATCGGTGTGGTTCTTGATAAATATATCCATGCTCACTCCATCGTCGTATGGTGGGTACGTACCTTAATGTAAAATAATAACAATTAAAAACATATTAAAATAATTTAAAATTGTACTATCTTCAAAATAAAACATAATATGTTAAAATATATTGTATTTATTTATTGTGCATAATTTATATTTATATAGCATACCAGGCTTATTAACGGGATCAATGCCCGGGTCCATAATGGGCACGTAATGCATACCAATATCATGTAAATGTCGGACCCAATCGCCAAACCCGGCCCATCGATCTTGATCTATCGTGAAATCATCAAATGTCGGTTCCATATACTCCTTGGCATTCCATTGGGTGTCAAAGGGTATGCCGGCGGCGATCGTGCGCTCAGTTATTAACTTTTGGGCGGCCAGAGTGTGCGGTTCACTACAGCACCGGCACTGATGATAGCCCAGACCCCAAAACGGGGGTATTTCAGGCTTACCCACGAGACTGACATAGTCTCGGGCAACGTCTGCCGGATTGGGACCGAGGAATATAAACATGTCTAAAATGCCCCCAATTGTACGCCAAGTGATGGCCGGCTCCGGCTGTAACAGTAGGTCCATAGCGTTGGAGTTGTGCAGAAACACGCCGTGCGATAGACCGGTGCTGTTGTCCTCGACGTTCAGGTAGAAAGGATGGGAACCATACTCTGGATGCTTTTCTTGTACAAGATTATCATGATTGAATATCGTGTATATTTGCCACTGGGTATCCTTCAGGAATTTGGCCTTTTGCTCACCAATACCGTACACCTGATGCGAACTGAGCAGTGACTTGAGCTGGATGAATTGGTCGGAAAACACTAATTTAGTTACGTCCGTTTGAAATATGGGTGTTTTTGTCAATTGTCGTCTTATTGTCACAACACCTGTATTAATAAATCATTATAAGTTGCAGTTATTAAATGAAACTAGTATATTAATTTTACCTAAAATTATTTATTTTAATTACTATATAATTAAAGTTTTTAATAATGTTCTAATTAAAAATAAATCAAATTTTTTATAAATTATAAAATAATATATCAACTCACCATGCTCGATCGGGTCAACCGTATAAAGAGGGTCTTTAGGTATGAGTTTGGGAAGATTGAGTTCCGGGAGTGGGGGCTCATATCGGGTGCGATTAGAGTCAGTCACACGTATTCGCAACACATTAGGCGAGAGATGTGTTATACGAAACGACACCGACTTTATATCGTTGGGAAATCCCGATGGGGTCTCGCGCTCGAGCTCTACCAACGTATGGTCTGAGCCCTCAGACACGTGAAGAACTTTATAACCCGAATATGTCTTTGGTATAAAGCATTGAGGTATGTATTTATCTGTTGGGTTAACGATCAATGTTATTAATTGATTATTACAGTACATAAACTTATTATGTTATTGTGTTTGGAAATTATAATATTATTCAATTGTCATTTAATGATTATGGTTACTATTAATTATTTTATAAATTTATCGCTTTATTGTGTATAAAAATAATGACATTATTTAAGTTATAATTTAATTAATTACATTTATTAAAATTTTAATATAAACAAAATAATTACATACTTTCAGTACTGGTGGGTGTTTTGGCGGCGAAACAGCACTTCCGTGCCGTACACTCAGCCTCAGTGACTGTCCGTTCGGGCGCGCAGTCTATACGCTGGTCGACACCAACACCTGTGCACTCCTGGGCCCGACTGTAGTGAACCAATACTAACCATTGGATTATTATTAGATATTTGCATTGCATAGATACACGCATTGTGTGATGGATTATGTTACTAACTTACTAAATTACAGTTTTACTGCATTTATATAAAGGTTACATTGTGCACATTGTTCAACACTTAATTACCTCTTACTATTATTATCTATTTTTAAAATATAATCTGACATAATTTACCCAGTGGTTTATTCCATGCCAACTTACGTAAGCAAAAGTATATCAATATGATAATTGATAAATTACAATTAAATATTTTCCAATCATTGTGAATTATACTTTACTGATTTATATTAATACAGTATTATCTATACAAAAGTTATTTTACTTTAATTTCTATACATTGTGAGATTTCTGGCGAGAATAGATTACCCCACATGGTGGAATCCAGACAGAGTGCAAATAGTTTAAAACTTATATGTTGTACAAAATACGATGTACTTGTCAAGTGATGTTAATCTCTTACTATACAGTACTAAATTAACTCGATATACTGTACTTTATATAAAATACAATGAATAATACAATTGCATAATACAAGTTTGTATATTGCCAAATTAATTTAAAAAGTTTTAGTTGTTTCTGTTAATAAAATAAAATTTTCAATCTCGTTAAATAAATGCGATAATATAATCTATTATTATTTTATTTGTAATAAATATAGTTTAAAATTTATTTATCAGGTATTTTATATTAAAATTGCTTATAATAATAATTAAATACAAAACGTATCTTTACTCTATGTATTTCATTTCCATTTAATTGTATGTTTTACTGTGCCCATATTAAGTTCTAGTTCACTTATTGCCAGTTGTTGCCCAATGGGATTGAATGAAAACTTTTTAGCCGCCACACCATTGACCAACACCGTAGTTGGCTTAACACTCACACCAAACACATCTATCTCGCCCACCAATACAGCGCCAGTATAGCCATTATGTTCTGGTTTTGTAACCAGGGTACTCTACAAATATCATAAAAATAATTTTTAAAACGAGTTCTAAAATAATATATATAGCTTACATCAGTGGCATCAAAAGTAACCAGAGTATACTGTTTCTGTTCAACAGGGTCTATTGAATCACCATCGTCCCAATATAACTGACCATGGGCAGTAACTGGGGCTGACCCTGAATTATCTAAAAAGATGAGCAAGGTAAACTTTTCCTTTCTCATAGCAGTTGTTGTCTGTCGAGAAGGTAGTATCGGCACCACATGTCCAGCCCTCAGGAATGTATTCACTTTGTCTACCGGGGCGTCAAACTCCATGAACTGACCGCTACTCACAATAGGATTATCAAACTTTGGGTATTCAAACGGATACCAAACACCCGCCGGTAAGTAGGGTTTAATTTTTGTAACATTAGGTTCAACTACAGGCGCTATCATAAATGCCTGGCCCCACATAAACTGTCTCTCGGCCACTGCCGGTTCGTATGTGTGCTTATCGGTTGGGAATTCAAAAAATAGTGGTCTAGCTACAGTGTCAGCGTTGACTTTAGCTTGGTAAAATAAGGTATATAAGTAGGGAAGTAGCGCGTATCTGGTTTCTAGTGCCTGTTTGGCCGCTCGAGTCACCATGGTGCCCATGGCCACTGGATCTTGGTCCATTTTCTTTGTGTTATGATTTCTACATTTGTTTTGTATTTGTAAATTAGTGTAAGTATTAATTATTAATTAGATTAGGTATTCTAACCTGGAAAATGGATAAAATGCGCCAACCTCAAACCACCTAGCACATAATTCTTGATGAAACGTGTTATTTTCAGCTTTACCTAGAAAACCGCATATATCGCCGCCGACTAACGGTATGCCAAACATATTCATATTCATAATTGCTGTAAAAATGCAAAAATATTATAATAATTGTCATAATAAACTTGAAAAAAGTTTATCACTATAATAAAATAATATTCACTCACAAGGGATAGTCCACTGCATGCTTGAATAGTCAGTATCAATGTCTCCATCCCAGTGCCCGGAGTACTTGCCCTGACCGGGCGATGTGGCCCGGGATATGACAAATGACCGCTTTTGACGCACCTCTTTCAACGCTCTAAAATAATGAAAATAAACATAATCAGATACAGTATAATAAATTATTATGAACTTTTCAAACAAATTAAAAACACTCACTTATCTGTAGCCATAGCCTCGTAAATGCCATACAAATTATGCACATTATATTCAACTCCGGCGTGCGATTTGGCAGTCATGCAGAGTGTGTGGTCTTGCATTTTACTCAGTTGTTTTGGCACATATGGGGGCGACTCAAGTGAGTTACCCTTAGGGCATCCGTGTATCGATTGGCTAATCTGGTTGTCAATCTCGTTCATGTCATTCCAGGCGCCATCGATGGGCACCTGTTTGTGAAACTCCCGGAACTGTTTGGTCCAGTATTCGGTAGAGTTCGGGTGCGAAAAGTCGGGCCAAACTGTTTTGCCCCTCGTGTGCCACGTGTGGCCAACAAATATACCATCGGTGTGGTTCTTGATAAATATATCCATGCTCACTCCATCATCGTAGGGTGGGTAAGTACCTAGACATGAAAAATTTATGATTAAAATATTTTTCAAATGTTGTACTTTCGACAGTTATATTAATAAATGCAATTTGCATACCGGGTTTATTAACGGGATCGATGCCCGGGTCAACAATAGGCACGTAATGCATACCAATATCGTGCAAATGTCGGACCCAATCGCCAAACCCTTTATACCGTTTCTGGTCTACCGTGAAATCATCAAACGTGGTCTCCATATACTCCTTGGCATTCCATTGGGTGTCAAAGGGTATGCCGGCGGCGATCGTGCGCTCAGTGATCACCTTCTGGGCGGCCAAAGTGCTGGGTTCGCTACAACACCGGCACTGATGATAGCCCAGACCCCAAAACGGGGGTATTTCAGGCTTACCCACGAGACTGACGTAATCTCGGGCCACATCTGCCGGATTGGGACCCAAAAATACAAACATGTCTAAAATGCCTCCAATGGTCCGCCAAGTGATGGCCGGCTCCGGCTGTAACAGTAGGTCCATAGCGTTGGAGTTGTGCAGAAACACGCCGTGCGATAGACCGGTGCTGTTGTCCTCGACGTTCAGGTGGAAGGGGTGGGAACCGTACTCCGGGTGCTTTTCTTGTACAAGTTGATCATGGTTGAATATTGTGTATATTTGCCACTGGGTATCTTTTAGGAATTTGGCCTTTTGTTCACCAATGCCGTACACCTGGTGCGAACTGAGCAGTGATTTAAGCTGGATGAATTGGTCAGCAAACACCAGCTTTGTTACGTCCGTTTGAAATATGATTGTTTTTGTCGATTTTCGTCTTATCGTCACAACACCTGTTAATTATTAATTATGGTAAAAATTAATTATTATTATTCGATTTACATGTAGATCTTTAATAAACTTATAACAATAATTATTAAATACAATGTAAATATTATAAATAAACTTAATTGAATTGTAACGCAGCAATCATTTTTGTATTTCATTTACAGCACAAAATGGTTTGTTTTTAAAAACCTTTCATTAAGTTTACAGTTTTTCTTTTATATGGAAAAATCACATCACATTACATTAATTGTTTATTTAGCCACATATTTTATATACATCACATTACACGTTACGGCTAAATGTTAAAAATTAAATCGTTTTATTCAAATTGTAATAAATAGAGACTAATTAATAGAAACTGAAAAGCAAAAAATTTTAATACATAAATAAAATAATTTAAAAACAAAATAACTCACCATGCTCGATGGGGTCGAGTGAATAGAGCGGACTCACGGCTACGGGTTTGGGTAGATTGAGTTGCGGGAGTGGGGGCTCATATCGGGTGCGATTAGAGTCAGTCACACGTATTCGCAACACATTAGGCGAGAGATGTGTTATACGAAACGACACCGACTTTATATCGTTGGGAAATCCCGNGCTACGGGTTTGGGTAGATTGAGTTGCGGGAGTGGGGGCTCATATCGGGTGCGATTAGAGTCAGTCACACGTATTCGCAACACATTAGGCGAGAGATGTGTTATACGAAACGACACCGACTTTATATCGTTGGGAAATCCCGATGGGGTCTCGCGGGAGAGCTCTACCAACGTATGGTCTGAGCCCTCAGACACGTGAACCACTTTATAACCCGAATAGGTTTTTGGTATAAAACATGTCGGTATGTATTTATCTATTGGGTTAAAGATCAATGTTATTAATTGATTATTACATAAACTTTTTATGTTATTGTATTTAGAAATTATAACATTATTTATTTTATAATGTAATAAATTGTTTTACTACTAACAAATTAATATTTTACATACTTTCAGTACTGGCGGATGTTTTGGGGGCGAAACAGCACTTCCGTGCCGTACACTCAGCCTCAGTGACTGTCCGTTCGGGCGCGCAGTCTATACGCTGGTCGACACCAACACCTGTGCACTCCTGGGCCCGACTGTAGTGAACCAATGCTAACCATTGGATTATTATTATATATTTTGCACGCATTTTGATGAATTATATTTAACTCACTAAAGTATTTTTCTATTTGTTGCGTTTATATACAGGCTGAGTATAAATCAGCACATTTTTCGATGGGACTCGTACAATGTGTTATTTATTAATACATGGTACACATTTGTACAATACTTCATTTCATATTATCATCATTTAAAAATATAATCTGGCATAATTTACCAAGTGGCCTCGTTCTCTGGCAATTTACGTATATAAAGTTTATCAATATCATAATTGATGGATTATAATAAAAATTTTCCAATCTATCTAAATTGTATTTAACTCATTATAGTAACTTACAAAAGTTATTTCACTTTCCATTTTGAACATGCCGAGATTTAAACAGGATAAAGATAGTTTGGAACTTTATTGCACATCATAAAAAATGTATTTAAATATATCTTATTAAGTGGTATCATTCACAGAACTTAATTAACTTAATGTACTTTTTATATAATAGTTTTAAATAAATAAGCATCTATTGAATGTTAGTTATTTTCCACATATTTTAAAGTTATTTTTATAAGTGAATTATGCAAATAATATACAAACATGTAAACAATTCAAAATATCTGATCATCCAATCCAATACCTTTATAAGCCAAGTGGTGTTTTCACTGTAGGTGTAGAGTAAACGTCAGCGTGACGTCAAACACTGGCTCTGGTAAGTGAAGTAAAGCTTTACTATTCTCACAGTACGTGTAGTGCATGACGTGTCTAATATTACAGTCGCGTAGTATATTTAAAGTATATGTGGCGTATCCGCTATGCGAGAAGAGGGATAGTGGGTTACGATAGGCTCAATCTAATTGAGCGCGCCAGTTTTAAATGGCTTTGTATGCTAGTGTTATTATAATTTATAAATATTACTTATATTTCCTTCAAAATGTCCTGTATTTAAATAATATCGAATTTAAAAATAAAATAAAATATTAATTTTTAATAACTTTGGACCATGTTTAATTGTATATTTATCACGGTGTTTTTATGTATATAGATATTTTTAATTTACTTCAGTACCCTTTGTTTAGCGGCGTTATCATCGGTTAACACCCTCCCATCGATAGCCTCTCAATGAATGCAAACACTTTGAACCGATCGCGCAGTGAGAGCACCGGTTGTCGGCCACCAGTAGTGGTCAGGTATGACAGCAACACATTATGCGGCCGATGAGCAGCGCTGGAAATCCATGTGCATAACACACATCCCAACGAGGGTAATGTAAAACCAAACATCGCAATTGTAAACATCATGATCCTGATGGAAACATCCATGTTAATGTTGGTCAGCATATAGATTGCCGCTTGGTTGCCAAACGTTGTGAGAAAATATATGATAAATATTATGTATTTCATGGTTTGGTTGAGACATTTTGTCTGCAATTCCCAGTAATTGTGTTCAACGATAGCCGACATTAATAGCCGTTTGTTATTATATTTCACACTCAATGCTATTCTATGGGATATTTCCAGGAATTTATGCTTTACGTAATAACATGTCATAAACCATAGGCTAAACCCCAAACATGTAATTGAAAACATTGTGATACATACCAATGCATTGTGCAAACAGTATAAACACAATAAGATAAATGTTACAAATGTCATTTTGGATAAAAATATAATTACATGATGGTAATTTGCTATTAAAGTTGTACATAAAACAAGAATTAAAAATGTAACATTATTAATAAAGAAATTGAGCAAGCTCATATATATCGCCAACATTCTAACCTTATATAATCGCAATGGATAATTAATAAGATTATACTTAATATCGCTCATAAAATTTAATAATGACATTCTGCGATTGTATTCTTGGTAAGTGATTAACGAGCCAATACAGACCATGGAAAATGACACGCTGGTGAGCATGGTGAAGAAAATATTCTTATTTTTTACGTGCGCAGGGTAAAATATGATCCATAAAATTTGATTATTTATTTTAAATAGAAATAACAATATTCTTATGGAGAATAACAGGACTAATATTCTACTCATAATAACTGCATATAATCTCCATTTGTTAGCATTAGTGACCGCACAGGCGGACACGCGTTCGTACGTATCGTTGGATATCGTGTTAAACGTGTTTCGCGCGAATGTCTCCAACTTTTGACACTCATTACGCATAGCGTTATTCCCGTTATTCCCGCGATTCCGGGATCTTGTTTCTAATATGTGGGCATTTTGTTTAATTTTAGTCATTTTAATTATTAATTAACTGAATTATTAGATTAATTACGTCAACTTTATTTTGGCTAAATTAATTACCAAGTTGCATGATTCAATATTTAATTAATTAATTAATAAACAATATTTTGATAATGCACTATTGAACATTAATTATTGTTCGTAAAGTTGAGCTGTACCTATTTTATTGATTTTGTACTCGTTGCAAATCATAATATGAATTATTTTTATTATTCTTATAATTAGAATTATTTTTATGTTATGATGGTCGTATTGCGTGAATATTAATTTACTTATAAATAGTATTTATATAAGCATTATTTGAATTATTGATTTTATTATACCATTATTCTTAGGAAATATCAATAGCATGTGTGTGCAATTATTGACTTTGATAGTACAGGTAAATTAATATAATTATAAAATCATTAATAATGATTTATTATAAAGATTGACCACGATTGCAACCCTTAACCTGTTGTAATATATTATTCTTAAATTAATAGAAACAAATTAATAGGAGCTCTCTCTCTCTCTCTCTCTCTCTCTAAATTAAATAAATTAAATTACATGTTACTTTAAACTATAATTTATTTATCAAAAATAAAATTTTTAAAATTTATTAAAGGATAATAAAGTATATTAATACTGTTTATAAACATAATTAAATACAAAAAGTATATTTAAGCTAGATGTTTCATTGTATGCTCCATTCAATTGTATGTTTAGCGGCGCCAACATTGAGAGCCAACTCGCTTACAGCCAATTGTTGCCCAATTGGGTTGTATGAAAACTTTTTAGCAGCAACCCCATTGACCAACACCGTTGTTGGCTTAGCACTCACACCAAACACATCTATCTCGCCCACTACAACATCCTTATAGCCATTGTGCTCTGGTTTTGTAACCAAGGTATTCTAAATATAAATTACATAATTAATAAATTATTTCATTGTAATTAATACAATACTTACATTAGTGACATCAAAAGTAACTAGTGTATACTGTCCATGCTCAACTGTGTTTATGGAATCACCATCATCCCAATATAACTGACCATGTGCAGTTGCTTTATCAAGAAAAGCCAGGATGATAAACTTTTCCTTTTGCATAGCAGTGGTTGTCTGCTGGACGGGTAGTATCGGCACTATATGTCCGGCCCTTAAGAATGTATTCACTTTGTCTACCGGGGCGTCAAACTCCATGAACTGACCGCTACTCACAATAGGCTTATCAAACGTGGGGTAATGAAACGGATACCAAATACCCGCCGGTAAGTAGGGCTTGATTTTGGTCACATTGGGTTCGACTACAGGCGCTATCATGAATGCCTGGCCCCACATGAACTGACTCTCGGCCACTGCCGGTTCGTACGTGTGTTTATCGGCTGGAAATTCAAAGAAAAGTGGCCTAGCTACGGTTTCTGCGTACATTTTGGCTTGGTAAAACAGTGTGTATAAATAAGGTAGCAGGGCGTATCGGGTTTCCAACGCTTGTTTTGCCGCGCGAGTGACCATTGGACCTAGAGCCACTGGATCCTGGTCCATTTTCTTCATGTTATGATTTCTGTGAATGTGTGTAATATTATTAAATAACTTTGTAAAAAATAAATATATTGGTTAATTTAGTATTTATTAATACTAACCTAGCAAACGGATAGAATGCACCAATTTCAAACCACCTAGCGCACAACTCCTGATGAAATGTGTTGTTTTCTGCTTTGCCCAGAAAACCACATATATCGCCCCCAACTAACGGTATGCCAAACATATTCATATTCATAATCGCTATAAAGTTATATAAAATAGTTAATTAAATATATTGATAACAATTTTTAAAAAATAAAAATCTAATGTTTATGCTAAATAATATTTGCACTCACAAGCAATAGTCCATTGCATGTTTGAATAGTCAGTATCGGTGTCTCCATCCCAGTGCCCGGAGTACTTGCCCTGACCGGGCGATGTGGCCCGGGATATGACAAACGGCCGCTTTTGTCGCACCTCTTTCAACGCACTATATATATGAATAAAACCGAATTAATATAAAAATATTTATGTAACATTATTTAAAAAAAACAATTATGATAGTTATGGTGTATTTAAACAACACAATACTCACACATCGGTAGCCATAGCCATATAAAAGCCGTACAAATTGTGCACATTATAGTCAACGCCGGCGTGATGTTTAGCAGTCATGCATAGTGTCATGTCTTGCAGTTTACTCAGTTGTTTTGGCACATAGGGAGGCGCCTCAAGTGGGTTACCCTTAGGGCACCCGGTTATAGATCCGCCCAAAAAGTTTGAGATCTCGTTCATATCATTCCAGGAGCCATCGATGGGCACCTGTTTGTGAAACTCCCGGTACTGTTTGGTCCAGTATTCGGCTGATTTTGGGTGCGAAAAGTCGGGCCAAACTGTTTTGCCCGACTTTTGCCACGTATGGCCAATAAATAAACCATCGGTGTGATTTTTAATGAATACGTCCATGCTCACTCCATCGTCGAATGGCGCGTATGTACCTTAATATACATATTTAATTAAAAATTAATATAATTAGTTAATTTATTTTAGGCGTTTAGATGGTAATAGAAGTAAAATTGCTTACATAGTTATAAATAAATTGAATTCTTACCAGATTTTTGAGCTGGGTCTATGCCCGGGTCAATAATGGGCACGTAATGCATACCAATATCGTGCAAATGTCTGACCCAATCGCCAAACCCTTTGTACCGGTTCTGGTCTACCGTAAAATCATTAAACGTAGTCTCCATATACTCCTTGGCATTCCATTGGGTGTCAAAGGGTATGCCGGCGGCTATAGTGCGCTCAGTAATCACCTTTTGGTTGGCCAGAGTGTTGGGTTCAGTACAGCACCGGCACTGATGATAGCCCAGACCCCAAAAGGGAGGCATTTCAGGCTTACCTACGAGACTGACGTAATCTCGGGCAACATCTGCCGGGTGTGGACCCAGAAATATAAATATGTCTAAAATGCCTCCAATTGGGCGCCAAGTGATGGCCGGCTCCGGCTGTAACAGTAGGTCCATAGCGTTGGAGTTGTGCAGAAACACACCGTGCGATAGACCGGTGCTGTTGTCCTCGACGTTCAGATAAAACGGATGGGAACCGTACTCCGGGAAGTTATCAGCGACTGGCTTATCATGGTTCCATAGTGTGTGTATTTGCCACTGGGTGCTTTTTAAGAATTTGGCCTTGTTCTCACCAATGCCGTACACCTGGTGCGAACTGAGCAGTGATTTGAGCTGGATGAATTGGTCAGCAAACACCAGTTTTGTTAAGTCGGTCTGAAATATGGGTGCATTTGTCG